GCTCTAACATCCATGTCCCCATCACTTTGGTCTGTCACCAGCATCCCAGAGGGAATGCTTGTCTGCTGGTCTGCTAAAAATATCTAAAACCCTCAAGCCCGCTCTCTCACTGTGCACTCATAGAGGATCAATCGAGCAATAACAACACAGTCATTTTTCCCATCTGTCCTCTGGTATGCTAATGCCAGACAATCAGTAATGAGTGATGAGGGTTTAGCCTGGAGCTTAGGTGGAGCATGAGCTTGCTCCTTCCAGTCATACATCATCCTGCATGTCAAGCTTGGAGCTGAGCAAGTGTCTGTAGTTATATGTAAATACGGAGAGAACGGAAAAGGAGGTGTTTTAATTATTAATTTTTTTTCTTTTCTTTGTTGTTATTTTTCTTTAACGGTAGTTTTGTGTACTTGCTTCTGCGTTATGTGATGCCCGACGTTTCAAAGGAAAGATGAGCGAGAAACACTTTGGAGAAAATGAACATAAACCACCTGACTGTTCTACCAAAGAAACCTCAGACGCTGATGTTTATCCATGCCCACCTCGGAAACAAAACAACAAAAAGCCATCTTGCAATCACCTCCCTCTGTTTTTATCTTCTTTCATCCTCTCACCTGCCTTCCCCCTCTCCCCCCCCCTCACTTTTCCTCCCTCTCTTCTGTGTATGTGTTCTCGTGGTTTTGTTACTGTATGTGTATACTTTAGTGATCGACTCGGTCTGATTTGCACTACTGCCGTAGAGAGTAAAGGGTGGCATGTCATTTTGCGATCTGGCACTGAACACACTGGGACGGATGAGGCTGACTTTGACACGATGGCATATTATTCCAACTTTTGTTGGAACAGCCATTTTTGCATCCCATGAACTCCTCTCTGAAATTTACCCGTGCACATTTCCACCCCAGCGCTGGTAGAAAAGCGTGAACAAGGTCATTATCCATTATTTATTGAACGCATTTAGGAAAATGTAAACACGCCTTTATGGCGTTGGGCAGTAGACTCATGACTCACAGCAACCTTTTGACTAGCGTTTGAACGTGCGCCATCACTGAAACTTCAATAGTGAAGCTGTTAGCTGAAAACACACACATAGGTGAAAAACTTCAGATACTGGGTGATTCAAACAGCCACCAGCACTTCACTAAAGAGTGGTTATATTGAGAGCTGCAAGTATTAATATAAATAAAGAGAGAAGTTATTGGAGGGACTTAAAAATGTACCATCCACCATTAGTCACCAAACCGCTACATCATATTGTGAGAACAATATGACGTAGGTTGAATTAAACACTAGAATTGTAGCTTGCAGATTTGGTCTAATGTGGCCATAAAATGTGTAAATATGAATGTTTGTATGTGGTTTATACAGATACCTAAAAAGCAAAAGACCCCTTGGTTTGATCCTGGGAGGTATTATATTTTAACATGTCATGCTGCCCAGTCCTCTGCTATCGGCTCTACACACATCCAGATTCTTATTTAAGCAGCGCTGATTTGTATCGAACAATAAAAACTGTTGGCTTTCAGTTTAAGAGCACAGTCAGGTTAAAAATGAAAAAAACGTCAGCTCCTGTGATGTTCGTGGCCATCACAACCGTAATGAGAGGAGATTAGGGTTGAAAACACTGACCGAGTGTGTTGAAGGCTGGGCTTTGCCGAACGACGTGCTTTGATGTGTTTCACGGGCTTAACTGCTGACAGTGATGAGGGGATAGATGACGCTGCATGTCACTTTGTGGTTGAAAGAAAAAAAGTCTGGTTTCTCGACCGGGGGAGAGAAGATTTTTCAGATCTCTTCAAACACACCTTTGTTTTTGTTGTTTTTTTGGGGGGGCGGGGTTTGGTCTCTTTGATCGTGGGTGTAGTAATTATATTTGGCATACACCCTGCTGTCCTTCCCTCCCTCTCCTACACACTGTGGTTTGGTAGATTTCTACAAGGTTTTAAGGGTAAATTAATGCATGTTGTTTTGTTTTTTTGTTTGTTTTTTAATAGCTGGTATCTATTAGTGTTTTTAGCATTTCAAACATAACTTTTATTAGCCTTTTCATTCAGACGTTAGTTGTTACTTCTTTCGTTGTCAGTAACAGACATAGACACTATACACTCACTGCTGGGTCAGTTGTACTCCATATTGTTATTGTTATTATTACAATTTTGTATTTTTTTGTTTTGTTGTTTTCCATTACTAGCAGTATGGTAACAAACATCTATAGTGGGACAGCCTCCGGACAGGCTCTGTTTAATGATGAGAGCTACGTTTCCTAAAATCATCTCAACCCAGCAGGCGATCAGCTCACCCCCGCAGCAGAGTGACGATCGTCTTGGGGTTTAGTTGGGTTTGGGATCCAAAGCTCATTAAGGTTTTCTTAAGATGTTGATCCATCAGTGGTACAGGATGCTACAAACGTCAGCTTGACTGAGCTGAGACACCACACAAACAGCAAAAAGTCAGCGGGGTCTTGTTTTCTCCAAAAGCATCTGAGCATCTAGCCTGTTCAGCTGCCATCTTAAAGTCACCTTCGCAGGCATTGGATGCTTTTGGGAAGCAGGGTTTGCTTACAAGAAGAGTTGGTTCACGATGGCTCTCAAACATCTTGTTGACGCATAAAAGTGTCTTGAAGTTACGGCACTAAAAAGACGACATTACGGAAATAGCATTGGCAGACCTAGCAGAGAGACGCTAGAGAACAAAACACTTGGCTGATAATTAGTTATCTGAATTTATGGTGTGACGTTTCACCTCGCTCAACCTCCATCAGCTGACTTTTTGTGTTCCGACTTGGTTTCTAGACCTTTTTTATAAATATATATATAAATACATATTTCTCTCTTTCTTTTCTGAACTTAAACTAGAGTGCTGCAGTCTAAGGAAATGAATTTTACTCTGCAAAGCAACCTGCGCCAAGGTGGCATACATTCCTGCTGTTGGCAACTTTGTACAGGCCTCAATGCATTCGCTATCTTTATATCAACAGGCGGAGCTAATAAGTAGTGAGGGCTACTTGTCCCCATCCCCTCCCAACAACATCTCTTGTGTCTTTGCCCAAATTAAAAGGTGCCCCATTTGCCTTTTTTAAGAAATAAAATGGTCATAGTGAAGAATAAAAGATAAAGAGAATAAAGGAACAACTGAATTTTAATTTTTGAGGACATTTAGTGGTCTGATTTAGAGAACTTGGGGTCTTACTAGCAGTCAGTGAAAACATTACTCACCCTGCATTAAAACTACAGATTGACTTAAAGTCTCTGAGCTAAGGCAGATAGGTGGTGAGGTTTTGATTCGTTGGCTTTGTGTAATTTGTGTCAAGAATGGCAAGTACGTACATTAGAGTTCTGTACCGTGTTCTAAAGCGTCTACACATTCCAGTCTCAGCTATCAGAACCTAGAACTAGATGATGGAAGTTCTACAATGTTACCCGAGATTCACATTTAACTGGAGTTCTGTCATGTACTTGTGCTTTCTGTGACCAGTTTCGAGTGGATTGGGTTGGTGGTTTTTCGCAGGCAGAGCGTTGGGGCGGGAGGCTGAGCTTTCAGAAGCTGAGCTTTTGTAAGCGCGACCTGTGAGCCAGGACATGTTCACCTGCCACTCAGCGTTGCCTCTCCCCCCACCTCTCAGATTCAGTCAGCCTGTATGCAGTCAGTAACATCGGAACACGAGGAAAATGGGCTCGGTGTCCAGAGGATTTTGTTTTTCTGTTATTCTTTCTCATTATCATTTCACTACCACCCTGTAGGTAGGCTCTCTTTATGCTTTGGCACACACTCCCTACGCACTGTAGGAAAATCACTTAATAAAAAAATACTTTTTTATAATAGGTAAACTATAAGACCATCATTACGCTGTGCGTAACGAATGTACAGAGAAAAAAAATCGTAGGTATTTTTTGAGGAACAATGAATTTGTTAATGATATGTAGCTATTTAATTGTTTTTTCCCTGTCCTTATATTGTAATCATTGCATTTTCTTTTTTTTTTGTGAAAAAGTTGATCTTTTTTGTTTATAGAGTTTGTCTGTTTGTTAGAGTAAAGGTTCAAGTGCAGGAGCACAGAAAACGTGTGAAACCACATTAAGCCACAGGTGTGTCGGTGACAATCGCTACTTCCATTGGTCCCCATGGTGTTCGATCATGTGACTTCAGAGACATTTGAACAAGACTTACCAGTAAGCCAAAACAAAGTTTGTTTTGCGGGCCTTTTGAGCAATTTGCATGTTTTGTGTTGTTGGAAGATTTTGCCTCTAGCCCATTCTGTCTTGCTTGCCATTTCCAAAAGAGTTCATTTAAAAAAATATAAGCAAAGTCCCCATTAGTCACGGGCTAGCAGGCAGGTACAATTTCAAACAGCACGTAAGCAATAGCATTTTTTTTCATGACTTTTTTCATCTATGGATGGGAAATGAGTGAAGTAAAACTATCAGTCAGCATTTGTTGAATTTGCTGTTGGAACTGATGAAACTGTACATTTGTGCTGCAGATCATCTGCTTTGGTGCCAGTCAGCGAGGCGTAGATGATCTGAGAAGTAAATGAGTTCTGGGGATGTCACTCCTAAATATGTCACCACAGTTCCCATCTGTTGAAGTCGTTTTGCATTCTTAATCAAGTTAACATGAAAATCGAGCAAATAAATCAAAGAGGAATCGGTCTTTACTCGGACTGCACCACATTTTCCAGGTCTTTTTTGAAGTGGAAGTAGCATGTACTTAATGGTAGTAATACTCTGAACTGTAATAAAATTTCTATCAAGATTTGTGGCTCTGTGTCTCCTACTTAAAAGGTTTTGGCAGGCCACCTTTTTTGTACGTTAAAATAGCCTTGATGAACAATAAAGTGCTTTTAAACCACAGTCTGACTGTGTGGCTTTTTGTCTTGTAACTGTTTGGTGTGTTTGTGCTTGTGAAATGGTTACGAGAGTTGCTCGAAAAGCGGCAAACAGCTTTTTGGAAAGACTGAGCTAAAGTAAAAAGGACATTGTTGCATAGCGACATAAACCTCACAGATGTTAATAGAGAAATAATGGATTTTATTCCAGTTTTTTTAATACAGAAGAGAAAAACAGCTCCGAGATTAATCAGAAAACAAACCAGATCCTTTCTCATGATTGAAACTCGAGTCAGTCTCAATAGCTCTCATAAATATCCAAGCATTTGTTAAAATGTACATGTGAATACACTGAATACATCACTGCAGATGAGACTTCCAATGCAGAGGACGAAATAAACACAGAAAAAACATAGTTACACAAACATGTACATGCATCAACACCAACAAACCAAGAGCAACAGCTTCCACAGTTCTAATTATATCACAGTAACATCTGTATGCAAGTCCTCTCTGAGTGAAAGCTTCATAGCAACAAAGCTGGTTTAAGCATCACTTCTACTGTACGTGTCACAGCCTCTAATCAAAAGACCCCAAAAATGGATGAATCTGCAGAACTGTATTTTATTTTCAAAACTTATCCGAAGCTCTTTCTCAAACTGAATAAGTGAACAGATGTCGTAACTGCCTTGCCAAAGATCTCTCCAGTGAAATCATTAAATGTGTTGATGCAGAGACCTTGGGAGGGGATTGAAACTGTGGCACTTCAGAGAAGTTTCTTGGTGTTTTTAGACTCTTTAGTTCCAATATTTTTTGCAGGTTTTGTTGTGTTTTTGTTCAGGGACTTAAAGTGTGTTTAGACAACAGCAGGTGACAGGAACAGGTACATTCTTTAGTAAGTTCAACAGTTTTACATATCAAAAGCAAAACAAAATCAAAACTTGTTCAGGCTTTCAGTTATTGTCTTGTTGCCTTTTTCTTAATTGCTTATTATTAGATTACTTCCCAGCTCTGAAGATCTGGGCCATCTTGAATCCAAATGAGGACTATTAGGAATTTTAAAGCTTTTTAGCAGCCTTTTTAAAGCATTTATTTATTTGCTCATGTGCTTGGTGCTGATTACGTAAACAACTTGGTCTTTGTAAATACAGGATTTACTTTAGAAAAAAGAAAGTATGGATGGATGTGTTTAGTCCTTCTGAGGGCTTGCTCCGCCAGTTTTTCAGATGCTCTCATCGTCGCTCATGTCCCAAATCTGATGAGAAAGAGACAAAAAACAGGAAAAGAAAAAATCAGCAAAAAGAGACAAAATTAACACATCAGTTATGTTTGTGTTTCCAGAACAGTAAGTGGATTCCTGTAGGGACAGGTAGAGCAGCTCTTAGAAGACACTGATCAATGATGCAACTTCAAACATTTAAAAGCTTAAAAACTTTGCTTACTATTCAGGTTCTTGTATCTACAAATGAGCTGAGCAAAGATATTTTAAAATGTCTCTTGCTGAAGTGCACTTGCTAGCGTGCATTGCCATTTGACCATATTGCAAAGCTGCACAACCACCACTGATTGTTGACCAATCGTAATAATGGACACATTTAGAGTTTCTCACAAGAACAACAAGCTATGGTCCAAAACAAATATGAGGAATTTAAAACTAAGAAAAGCTGGAAAAATTGCCAACAATGTGAATGTTTATGCTTCTCATCACTTCAGTCATCTGTGTACCTGACAACAGTGAGTAGCCTACTTATGTCTATGAACGCATTCATTCAGCAAGACATTAACACAGGATGGACAATTAATTTTCCCAAGCTAAGCTAAACTCAATTCTGCGTGATATCAATTTTATCTCTTTTTAAGACCTTGACGTGGCCCTCCACAACAGTCCTGCTTTTTCATGTACACTAAGCAGATTTATTTCCCCAATAATCTGTTTAAAATATTTCTGACTCAGATAAATGGAGTACCAAGAATTACATACCCCAAAATTATAGTGCAACTTACATGAAACACAATTATGTCAGAAATGTGATGCAACTCCCACATTTTCCGGAAGTGACGCAATAAAAGACACAAACACACACACACACACACACACACACACAGCTGAGCAACTTCTTCTGCATGAGTCTGCCAGTAAACAACAGCGGCCTTCACATGGCAGCAGAAGTCTTCACATTCTTCCTCTGTCAGACGTAATTCGCATACCTCTGACACTTTCTGGAATGTTACACACACAACCACAAATACACGCAATTCTGACACATACACACAGCGTCCTCTGAAAGCACTGCTTCGCGGCTTTCAGCGCTGAAACGTGAAATTCAGGGAAGAAGGAGAAATCCAACACGTTCAAATGGTTTTTAAGTGAAGCCGAGTCTCTTTGATTATCGCCTTGAACTCTATGAAGGTCATTTAGAACAAGGTCACACATCTTCCAAGAGCAGTTGCAATGAAATTGCAACAAATTTTTTTTTATTTGGTTGGTTATTATTATAGGTTAATTGGAAAATCCAAATTGTCACTAGGTGCGAATGAATGAGAGTGCAAATGGTTGTCTGTCCCTGTGTGTTGGCCCTGCGACAGACTGGCGACCTGTCCAGGGTGTACCCCGCCTCTCGCCCTATGACAGCTGGGATAGGCTCCAGCGCCCCCCGCGACCCTGAAAAGGATAAGCGGAAGCGAATGGATAGATGGATGGATGGTTATTATTATTATTATTATTATTATTTTATCATATATAAATTCAATAAATATGTTTTTTATTGTTTCATTTTATGCTTTTATTTTATTTTCACTGTTGCATGATCAACTATGTTTAAATTCATGGTCAAATGTACATGAATAAAAATTAACAGCAATTATTACACCAACAGTGTAATAATTATTGCACCTGTCCTTTAATGTAGGATTTTCTATGTCAAAGAGAAGAGAGACTATACATACAGACATTATACAGAAGCCAACAGTAAATCTAAGGGGACGAAAACGAGAAGCGGGGGAATGCTCAGCACTGAGGGGCAATGGCTTTGCCACTTCTACTTAAAATATGTCATCAATAGTATGCATAACAACTTAGCTACTTACACTATACATTTAGATTTGGCTGGTTTATGTGAAACAATCAATGTCATACACCAATTTACTGCAAGCATAACCCTCCTGCACACTGGCCTCATTAAAACAGAGAATGACCTATTTTAGATTCTGACAAATGTCCAGATGATCCACCGAGGGAAACATCTCTCACAGAAATGGATGCAAACAAATAAAGGTGTTGGAGTTGCATCCAAGACAACATCATCCTGGTGTGAACATCAGCAGGTTTATTACTGCGTGAATGCAATGAAATATATTTTCGTGCATTCTTGTTTAAATTATGGTTGTTGGAATAGTTAACATTTAGGGAAATGCACTATTATTGTTGTTTTTTGTGTGGTGCCAAGTCCACCAGTACTGTGTTCCTCCACTGTAAACACAGATAGCTTAGCATCTGCAACTGGAGAAACAGACTGGCTCTTGGGGAAAAAAAGCTCCGCTTTAAAACTGTGTTTAATGTGTGTCAAACAGAGACGCAAAAACATGCAGCTTGTGTGTTGTAGCTGATGTTTTTTGCTCTAACTATTGCTTGACCACCAACGGTTTAGCCTTCCACCTAGTAGCCTTTGTGCAATCAGCTTGTGCAACAGCACGTCTCTGTTTGGTACCAAACCTGGCAACGTCACCATTTCGGAGATTTTGACACGGCTAAAAGCGGCAGCTTCATGTCTGAATCAGCACTCGGGGGTCACTTTTTCTAAAAGTCACTGCAACAGTATTTTGAGTAACTTTCAGGAGAAGTCTGAACTGCATGTTCAAGTAACCCCCTCCACCCCTCCCCGAGAGGGACATCAAATCCTGATAGACAGAATCAGAACAGAGCAGACTGATCAAACCACGAGAGCGTCACCAACCAAAGACCAGGTCTAAAAGTGTTTTCACACTTTGCAAAGAAACAGTTTCCCCTCTCCTCCCTACAAGTTAAGCCAGGCTTAGCACAGCTTGTCTCCAGCTATTAGCAGCCCAGGGTTAGTCCTGTATTTTTCACCTTACTACAGACGGAAAGATTAATAACTGTAGTTAGATTTACTTGTATGTAAATCCCCCCATTTTAAACACCTTAACTGCCAGAGGACACCAGCTTTACTTTAATAAAGAATTTATTGATACCTGAAGGAGAAAGTTCACATTTAAATCATGAGCAGTTATAAATATGGGCCACTGAGTTCTGTTTTGGCGATGCTATACTATCTCTTTGAGCCAGATTCCTCCATTATTTTTCTTTCCTCCTCATCTGACTCTATTTAAACAAGAATATTTCAGTGATGCTTTTACTTTAGCTTTTCCTGACATACCTGCTTTGACAGGGAGTAGCGTAGGTAGTGCTACACACAGTAAGGACCGCAGGTGCTCCTGTGGCTAAAAATCATGTGTGCCAGCAGAAAAAGCTGTCCAACCTGTTCCACAGCAGCTCTGCCACTACTGTATATATGGTCTTTAAAAAAAGACAAGCGTGTAGCACCAGAGCAATGCGAAGTTTTCACAAAGCTTTTTCCCCCCTTCATAAACTAAGTGTGGAAAATCAAGGACAAATTCTTATGAAAGCTGGATTTTCTGCATTTCTGCTCCACTGCTGCTGGGTAGCAGCCATCAAAAGGACAGCAAGCAAAGAGCTCTTTGAAAGGGAGTGACACTGGAGCCCCTCTCTGGATGGCTGCCATGCCACACTGATGGCGAGTATGTGGGCCTGTGTGAAATCTTTCCCGCAAAATGGAAAGGGGGGGTAGAGGTAGAAGAGTGAGGGAGATTTTGTGTGTGTGTGTGTGTGTGTGTGTGTG